GGTGGCTTTTTCTTCACAATGCATGTTTCTAGTAACAATACATTTTGGTCGCTTTTGCCGAGAGGTACCTCCTGCCTTAGGTCGCTGATCTCACTCTCTTGTCGCGTGAGGGCTAGATCCAAGGTGGACGATCTCTGCCCTAGCCGAATACGCGTTGGTTCTTCCACGTGCTGGTAGAGCGATACCGCATGGAAGCAGTCCATGAATTCACGTTCTGCTTGCCCATCTCCCTCATCTTCATACTCCCATTCTATTCCAGGTAGATTGAAATCCCCCACTATAATCGGCGAGTGATTTCCCCTACTGACTGCGGCGATGAGACTTAGTAGAGCTCTATCATCCTCCGGTCTAGCGCTTGGTGATCTGTAGATACCTAAGATGCAGAAGTTTCGGCCTCTATTTCTTATATATATATATGTATATAAATACCCAGACTGTCCCCCTTTTTTGACTTCCGATTCCGGTTTTGTACATCTGCATATGCTTCTGTGACAATACACGTTGGCCGCCCTCGACTTTGTCTTCTGCTCGACCGGTCGTCGCCGCTTGTCTGTGAATAACTGTTCTGTTGACCATTTCAGGCGCCCCTGCATTACAAAATTGGTGACAGCGGTGGGATGAAGATAATGCCGAAAAGTCACGGAAAGCTTGAACTACGCGAGGAATCCACTTCCGTCACGGCAGCTCAACCGTCATTTGGCGTGCCAGTAGCCATCCCGCCGCCGGAGAATTTTCACATGGGCGACAACTTCGATCGGTGGGAGTCACAGGTCCGCGACTGCCTACAGCTTTGCTCCCCGAGAAGCCAGAGGTACATCTTGTTTTCACTCGTCAATGGTGAGGTGTACGACCAGATATACAGGGAAGTCGAACGAGAGGAAGTAACTGATATCACCTTCCAAAGGCTGCGAACTATACTGGTCCCACCCAGGCCGCTACGAGAGTTCCGTAACGCCTTTCGGTACTGTGTCCAAAAGTCAACCGAGACCGCCCGGCGATATGCGACGGAGCTACACAAACTCGCAGCGCAGGCCTACCCTCACTTCGACGCAGAGACCCGGGAGCAACTCGTGCTATTTCGTTTCATGGATGGGGTAAGGTCACCGGCCGCGGTAGAGTCATTGGACGACGCCCCAGCCACCACCATGGCGGAAGCGATTGACCGAGCGACGAGGAAGGAGAACTACAACAACCGCCGAACTCCGCCATCCCAAGCGAACAGAGAAGCCCAGGGCACCGGTAACGCGAACGTCCCCAGAACCATGGCAGACGATTTGGCGGATGGAACGCAAATGACCGGCATCGGGACAAGGGCAGGAATGGGAACGACGAACAACCACAAGGACGTTACATCAGTAAGTCCCCAAAATTTTGTGTTCATGTTCCTGCTATAAATGTCCGTGACCATCATGTTCCAGTGATTGAGGGGTTCATTAATGGCACCCCGGAAGACGTGTTCATAGACACGGGGTCAGAGCGCACCATAGTACGACAGGGGCCAAACATTCTACCGACTCAAAAACCGTGTCGTGAAAAGGTTTGGGCGGCGAAAAATACGGAAATCGCCACCGTAGGAAGAACGACAGTGACCGTTACCATCGGCAGTCAAGTCTTCACCCACAAGGCGATAGTTGTTAGGGAATTACCGTGGTCTGCCATATTGGGTAT